TAATTAAATTTGCATTTTTTATAAAACCCATTAATTTATAACGAAATTACTTGTTGTTTACATTTGTCTTTGAATTAATTTATTTTTGGAAATAATTATATTTTTAATAATAAAATTATAATAAAAATATACTTCGTTATATAGTTTCGATAATGAATAAAAAATGCCGCGGACACGAAAATAATAGAAAGGACACCATATACACATAAAGGACGCCCTTTATAGCGGGAGGACATCCTTAAACCACAATGGACATCCTTCGGCCTATATTCCCGTCCTTCGTCCCCATGTCCGTCCTTTCTCTTTAAACTGACTCATTATTATTAATGTAATTATTAATTAAGAAAATAATTATATAAACTAAAAAAACAAAATAATAATCAAGTCTGTCTAAAAACGTTGTCCACTTGTAAAATGTTGTCCATTTGAAAAAAAAATACACAAAATAAGTTTAAAAATTTGGGAATGAAAAAAAATGTTGAAACCCCAGTAAATATTATGAAACAATATTTTGCGAGTGTTTCGAATTGTTTCCCGAAATATTCCAGTTTTGATGGTCCAAAAATGCCTGGACAACTTCGGAGAGCGGACAACGTTTTCGAACTGACTATAATTGAATTTAATACAACTTTTCAATTATAAATTGAGCACATTTTAAAGATATTTTCTGAGGCTTGCATTTAATAACAAATTTATTTTGAATAATTCAAAAGGTAAAAATATAAATTGACAATTAAGTTTAATAACGACTTTGTGTTTTATTTTGACAATTATAATTATTATTTGTCTGTATTAACTAATAAAATTTACATAAAATAAAAAAAAATCGAAAATTAATTCATTTTTTTTTATCTTGTTAAGGCATTTTTCTGTCTCTGGTTATTTTTCAAACAAACTAAGACCAAAACATTTAAAATGTCAGAAAAACAAATTAAAGTGCTTCCTTCTTTCAGAATAGCTACAAAAAAGTTAACCAAAATATTATTCAAAAAAATAATAAAAAAAGATTAACAAAAATAACGGAATTTATTAAATCACAAATAACTTCAAAATAAAAAAAAAACTTGTCGATATAATATATCAACAAAATATCGAAACCGAATTAAAAAATCGTAAAGAGGCATAAATTGGTATAAAAACCCTATAATCCCATTTTAAAAACCAATTCCAATGGACGCGTTCAACTTCTTTTTTTGTGCCATGTTTAATCGTGTTCCAGTTTTGATTTTCACATTTTTACTGATAGTCTTGCCCATACTTGGGTTATCCAAAGTCGTTAATTTAAGTGACTTTGATCCGTCATTTCAGCAGTGGACTGGAGCATTTAGTGTTCATTTGATTGTTGGTGGATTAGTTCTCATTTTCATTGTTCTATTTTTATTGGGATATTTCCTGAATGGGTATTTACCAGAGTTATCAATAATTGCGTTCAATGTTGGACTCATTATAGTATGTATTACTGGAGTTGTGTTGTCCATTATCATTATACCAATTGCAGCAACCATTAAATTTGATATCACAATCCCTGACCAAGTCATTGCCTTAGAAAAGAATGTTTGTTTCTCTTAACATGAATTGTAAACCTTTGTTTCTATAAATAGTTACTGTATTATAATATATAATTCTTTTTATTATATTCAATAGTTAAATTTATTAAACAAGTTATATCATGATGTATCGGTATATTGGAATAACCAAATTGAATATAATCACAAAAAACGAATTTATTTTCCAATATAATATAATTCTATATTCTTTTTCGTATACAATTAGTATTCTGTTTTTTTTCAAGTCATTTATTTGTATTAAAAACACAATAAGTGACTTGAAAACAAGAATCAAAAGAAACTAACAAGAAGTATGGGTGTTGCTTTGCGTTTGAAGGATATGCGCGCACTGGGTGCCAATGCAAATATTCCATGCATAATACAACAAGCATATATAACGTCTCAGTAGACTATGATATGACCTTTATGCAGAATCTTGAGCAAAATAGTAGTTCTCCAGTTGGTGATTTGAGTGAAGAAAGTAATGCAGACACCCCAAAAGAGTATCGCCCTCATCGACCAAGTGGCGGTTCCTCGTCTTCAAAATCTAAGCCTTCTATTTGCAAAGAATGTCAAAGCGCTTTCAAAGGGTTTAACGTTGGAATGTCTGTTGCTCCGGTGGGTGCAGATGTCTTTATATGCTTTATAGGAGTTATTGGGATATTAATCGGAATGAGGAAATTCAAAAATAGAAGAGAAGAATTGATGAATTAATTGTTATACGTTTTATACTTCTTATCTTTTGCATATGCAAATTTGAATGAAATATTTGGTTAACACCGAACCATTATTTGATATGTAAAACATTTCCAGAACATATTGTTATAAACACCAATAAAACTAACCAGTTTAATTCGTTTTATTATAAATTAATAGTTAAATGTAAATGTTAAGGTGAAATCATTAAAATACAACTTAGGTCGACACGAAATGGTTTATTTACTATATTATATAGTTGTTTTATTTTACATTGTACATTTTTTCAAATTTGGTATTTATTTATGAAACTATAATAACATAGTTTAATAACAATACAATACTAGTAAAATTAATACTTGAAAAGACATAACAAACCGAAATACTTCGAAGTAAAAAAAAATCATTGATCGGTTGAGTTCAAAATTTGAAGCTTCTAGTATTAAAAAATGGTTGTTAATAAATAGTTTTTTTGTACCAAAATGTAATTATTAAATTACCACACTTTTATCCCAATTCTTAAGTTTAATTTTACTACTCGTATCATAAATTGTAAAACCACAGAAAAACAAATTAATTAATAATTATAATTTATTTTATTATAAGATATAGAAATAAGAAGTTTTTTGGCAATATTTACTTAAAACCCCCATTAATTTAAAACGGTAAAGGAAAAAAAGAAGAAGTGAGACATTTTTATATTCAAATCAAAATCATTTTTCTGAAGAAAACAAGATTCGAAGTAAAAAAAATGGACGTAAAAGCCCGATTAAAGAATAATGATTTCTCGAGTTAACAATTTAATCTGTAAATACAATACTTCTTATATGTATATTTATTCTTTGGTAAATGCAACTAAAAACAAAAACTTAATTAAAACAAATTGAAGATTAACAATGATACCGTTACTTCTTTTAACCTTTGCAGTGGCTAAATGGTGTTTAGAAGAGAACAAAATTCAATGTGATTATTGTGGCGTTAACGGAGAAAGTGTGAATGAAATGATTGAAGAAAATGACGTGATTAACTTGAAAAAGTTCAACATTGCTGGAAATTTTAAAGAAATTGAAATTCGGTGTAAAAAACACAAAGAAATACAAATAAATTTCGATGATACTATTTCAAGAATTAAAGTCACTTTTGAGAATGCAAAAGTAGTTTTTCTAAACACAAAACAGGTTTTTGATAATGTAAACAATTCGACTTTTAAAATCAATCCAAATTGGGTGATACAATACAGTTATCTCAAAACAAGTTCCATCAAAAAAGATATAACATGTGGCTCAATTTTACAACCAAATTGTTTGGAGTGTGTTAGTTACAACGGAAATCATTGTTACCAATGTGAAGACGGTTATCAAGTTGCAAATTCTAATGATAATTCTATTGTTAAATGCTATCTTTTAAATGACACTGATCACACTCCAATTTGTGGTGATAGTGGACTTTCTTCGTGGAACCAAGATGGTATATGTATACCAACAAATTGTATCTCATATAACAGCTACACAGGGTATTGCAATTTGTGTTATCAAAATTATTTGTTTGATAATGGAAAGTGTTATCCAAAAGCAACAAATTGTGGAACTTATAATACAAATCAATATTGGTGCAGTCAATGTAACTCAGGATATTTTCCATATTATTATAATTGTGTTCCATGTGGATATATGGAGGGGTGCACAAGTTGCAGTCAAAATCATTACAAAACGTGTTATTCATGTAGCAATGGCTATTACCTCAAAGAAGAAGGATATTATAAAATATGCAAGAAGTGTCCTTCTAATTGTGCCTATTGTAACCAAGATTATAATGGGAATTTAAAATGTTCAAGTTGTGATGGTGGTTATTATGTGGTAAATAACGATTGTATATCGTGTGGTGCTGGGTGCAAAGGTTGTAGTACAGTAAGCGGACAAAGTGGCAAAACACAATGTAATGAATGTTTTGATCATTATTATAACAACGAGAATTATGTTTGCACAGTATGTGATTCAACGTGTGGCAATTGCAATTGGGGAACAGGAATATGCACCACGTGTGCTTCTGGATACGTTTTGAAAACCACATCAAGCACAAAGTGTGAATTGTGCAAAAATTATGACAGTAATTGTGAAACTTGCCTTGAACCGAACAGGCAGTGTTATCAGTGTGTCTCTGGAATGTACCCAAATACCAATAAACAATGTATTAATTGTGATTTGTCATGTAGTATGTGTTCTCAAACAACTGGGTTGTGTTCTGTGTGTGCAAGTGGATATACAAAAACCGTTTCAGACAACCAAACTTGTGATAGTTGCTCAACTGCTTTTCCCATTTGTGTTTTGTGTTCACAAACGCTCAGACAATGCCAAACATGTTCAACGGGATTTTATCCACTTCAGGTATCGCCATATACATGCCAGCAGTGTCACTCAAGTTGTGCAAATAAATGCAACTCGTCAACTGGATATTGCACAACGTGTGTGAGTGGATATGTCCCACAACTCAACCAACCATCTCTAACGTGTGAGTTGTGTTCTTCTTTTGATACCAATTGTCAGACTTGTGCCACTGATGGAACACGAAGTTGCACTTTGTGTAAAAGCACTTATTATATTTCTGATAACAAAAAGTGTTCAAAATGTGATGCGTCTTGTGATTACAAATGTGATTGGAATACTGGATATTGTACTTCGTGTGCATCAAATTATGTTTTTAGCAGTCCAACTTCGAGAGTGTGCCAAAATTGCAGTGAGTTTGATTCAAATTGCGGTTTATGTGCAACTAACTTCAGTCGCAAATGTTTAATTTGTAAAACAAATTTATATCCAAACGACAGTGGGAAGTGTGTTTCATGTGCGACAAATTGCACAACTTGTAATTCAGCAACTGGTATTTGCACGTTGTGTGCATCAGAAAACGTGTTTGAAGACTCCCCATCAAAAGTGTGTGTGTTTTGTAAAACGTTTGATAACAAATGTGAAACGTGTCAAAATGGTGGAAATAGAAGTTGTGTGACATGTATGGTGGGGTATTATCCAGGTACGACAGGAAAGTGTATTTCATGTGATACAACTTGTCAAACAAACACGTGTAATACAAATAACGGTTTATGTACAAAATGTGTTCAAAACTATGTTGTGACATCTCCAACTTCTAAAATGTGTCAGAAATGTTCAGATTTTGATTCAAAATGCAAAACATGTGCAACTAATTTCACAAGAAAATGTGTTGAGTGCAACACCAATTATCATCCAGTCAATGGAAGATGTGTTGTGTGTGATTCGTCATGTGGAGGGAGTTGTAGTGGTGTGACTGGATACTGCACTGGTTGTGCTTCAAATTATGTACCTACATTACTCGATCCTTCCAAATGTGAGCCGTGCTCAACTTTTGATGAAAATTGCACCACTTGTGCAGCAGGAGAAAGACAGTGTTTAACATGTAAAACGTCCAAATATCCCGATGAGACAACTGGAATGTGTAAAAACTGCAGTTGGACGTGTGATAACAACTGTGATCCATCAACAGGAATATGCACAAGTTGCGTTTCAAATTATGTTTTTGAGAATCCAAAATCGAAAGTGTGTGTTCCCTGTAAAAGATTTGATGTGAATTGCAATGTGTGTTCGTCAGACAAACAACGAAGCTGTACCATTTGTGAGAGTAATTATTACCCAAAACAAGGGCTCTGTGTACCATGTGACTACGGGTGCACTACTTGTAGTTCCGCAACAGGAAAATGTTCGGCGTGTCAAACAAACTTTGTGCCTTCAACTGTGAATAACACGGCGTGTGTTCCATGTGCAGATTTTGATAATAATTGCAAGACGTGCGCAACATTGTTTGGGCGATACTGTATTGAGTGCAATGACCATTTCAAGCCTTCGGTTGATGGGGTTTGTGTGAGTTGTGATGTTTCTTGCAACAACAACTGTGATCCAATATATGGAACTTGTACCACATGTTCAACAAATTACGTTTTCACATCGCCACCATCATACAAATGTGATAATTGCAGTGTTTTTGATCAATATTGTGATGAGTGTGCGTCAGATTTTTCAAGAAAGTGTGTGACGTGTCGAGGCGGCAAATACCCCAAAGATGGTGTTAATTGCACCAATTGTGATTCAAGTTGTGGAAATCAGTGTGATGGCAAAGATGGTCATTGCACGGGGTGTGCCACCAATTATGTGTTGTCTGCCACAAACAGTTTACAATGTGAGAGTTGTGTGTCTTTTGATGCAAATTGTCAAACTTGTTCGCCAGACTTTACAAGAAAATGTGTGACATGTGTTTCTGGATATTTTGTGTTTGAAAACAAGTGTAAGAAGTGTGACGACACGTGCAACAATCAGTGTGACAGCTCTACTGGATTTTGCACAGGATGTCAGAACAACATGGTCTTTGGTGATACAAACCAAAGCCTTTGTGTTGCTTGTACTGCATTTGATTCAAATTGCTATATTTGCGACTCTTCTTTCAATAGAGGTTGCAACACGTGTACAAACAGACAATATGTTGATAGTACAAGCAAAAAGTGCATACCATGTAATCCTGCATGTAATCAATGTAATGGACAAACGGGAGCGTGCACTAATTGTTTGCCCAATTATGTAACAAGTTTAACATCAGGTGGTTGTGAAAGCTGTGATTCATTTGATTCCAATTGTAAATTCTGTGCTCAAAACCAAACACGAAATTGCATTCAATGCAACGACACGTATTATCCCGTGTTAACAAGTGGAGAAATGAAATGTGGTTTGTGTGACTCGACGTGTGGAGGGAATTGTGATCCAACAGACGGTCATTGCACAGGGTGCCAAAACAATTATGTTCTGTATGAAACAAACAATTTGAAGTGCCAAAAATGCTCTAATTTCGATAGCAACTGTTTCACATGCAACTCCAATTATGAAAGAAAGTGTACCACTTGCAACACGGGATATTATCCAAATGCAGACGGGAAATGCATTTCTTGTGAAGCTTCGTGTGCACCAAAGACGTGTAACACATCAAATGGCAATTGTGACAAATGCACTGAAAATAAAGTCATCACAAGTCCAATTTCAAATGTTTGTGTTGATTGCACTGCTTTTGATTCAAGGTGTGTGACGTGTTCACCATCGTTTGTAAGAAAGTGTATAAAATGTGTTGCTGGTAGTTACCCACAAACCGCTGGCGATTTCAGATGTAAATATTGTGATGCCACATGTAAATTGAAGTGTGACACGACAAATGGACATTGTACTGGGTGTAGCGAATCGTATGTTCCAACAACATCAGATCCATTTAAGTGTGAAAGTTGCCAAACATTTGACTTTAATTGTGCGACTTGTGTTTCTGATAAAAGAGAGTGTGCTGTTTGCAAAATGGGAAAATACCCAAGTGACTCAAATAAAATATGCCAAGACTGTGACTCAACATGTAACGGCGATTGTAACACAGCAAATGGAATTTGTAACACGTGTTCATACAATTATGTTTTCAATGAACCAAAAGGAAGAAGTTGTGTGCCATGTGCAACATTTGACAGTCATTGTGTAACTTGTGCTTTTGATTATTCAAGAAGGTGTGTAAAGTGTTTAAATGGGTATTACCCCGACACAAATGGAAAATGTGTTGCGTGCTCAACAATAACAAGCAATTGCAACACTTGTAATACAACGGAAAAGAGTTGTTTCAGCTGCAAAGACCCGTATTACCTCTCAAATCAAAAATGTCTATTGTGTGAAGCTGGAACTTACAAAAAGACAGAGATTACTTGTGACAAGTGTTACAATGCTATTTTGAATTGTAAGAACTGTGGAACGGCTTCTGTTGGCAATGCGAAGTGCAACGAGTGTTATCCCCCATACACTTTAAGTTCAAATAGTAAAAGTTGTGACCAATGTGCTTCAACTTCATATTATGACAGAACAACAAATCAGTGTGTAAATAGAAACACGACGTGTTCTGTACAAATTGAAAGCACTAAATGTGTCCATTGCACCGATGATTATTTCATATCAAATGGGATGTGTAAAAATGCTCAAAACTGTAACAGCCCATCGAGTCTGTCACCGGCGTCATGTGATTGTTCAGACCAAATTTCGATCAATTCCGATTGTGTGTCAGTTGCTTCAAATTGCAAATATCAGAAAACAATGAATTCAATTTCAACGTGTTTGGTGTGCAAAGACAATTTTACTTTATCACAAAATACATGTAACAAAATAGAATCAAATGAATTGTATAAAAATGGTGTTCAGTACAGTTGTTTGGATGGCCAATATCTAAATAATAACAATGTATGCGAAGTGTGTCCAAATTCAGCTTCAATTTGTATTAATAATAAAAATAATATCTACACATTGAAATGTAGACCAAACACAGTCACAGATGTTGGTACAGAGCAATGTATAACAGATGAGATGTGTTTGCAATATACACACGATTACTGCTCTCAATGCAAGTCGGTGTCATCACAGATCATCAATGGAATATGCACATCCTGCCAAACACCAAACTGCCGATTTTGTGAAGGAAACAAGTGCAAGCGATGTGCCAACGACTATTTGATGGTCAAAGAGAATCAATGCGTTTCTCAAAGTGACAAAAACTGTGACAAGTCGAGTGTGTCTGGGTGTGTGATGTGTTCAAGTGGGTTCTATCAAGTTGACTCTTTGAACGTTGAAGGCAAATTCGATTTCTGTCTTCCAATACCCCCATCACTATATCCAAATTGTAAACGGCTTGCTTTTTCAACGAGTAAATGTGTAGAATGCAACGATTTGTTTAAATTGAAAGGTGGGGTGTGTAAGGAATCATTCGAAGATGAAGTTCCTGTTGTTCCATCAGAAACGGAACCCGAACTTCCTGTCTCTGTTATATCCAATTCGCATATTGAATATTCACTCAATTTGAAAGGAGTTACTGAGTCCAAATGTCAAATGAGAGACAACAAAGGATGTCAACGGTGTTATGACGGATATTACTTCGAAGACAACGGGTGTGTAAAATGCACCAACGATTGCGGTTCGTGTTACTCACAGACATATTGTACTTCATGTGAAAGTGGGTTTTATCTTGACTCAAAAAATCGATGTCAGACACTTGGTGATTTGAGTGCAAGATGCAGTGTCGCGCTTCCAACCGGTGGTGGGTGTGCTATATGTAGAGATGGATATTATAAAGTGCTCAAAGATTGTATTGTCTGTGACATTTCATGTAGTTCATGTATTAGCAATACTTCGTGTTCTGTATGTGCAGATGGCTATTTCATCATCGAGTCTGAGAGTCGCTTGTGTCAACTCAACACAACAAATACGAATTGTTTGAAAGTTGGGTATTATGGCTGTGAAGTCTGTGCTGATGGATATTACTTATCCAATTCTCGTTGTACAAAATGCAATGAAACGTGTTCTTTGTGTACTTTACAAGGTGTGTGTACAAATTGTGTATCAAAAGATTACGTTTTATTAAATTCGGATTGTGTATACTACTCTGAAATTAAAAATTGCGCAGAAGCTTCAGACTCAAAATGCACGAAGTGTAAAGGAAGTAATAAACCGTCAGATGTAGGTGATGAGTGTATCTATCAAGTGAACTTAGGAGCTGCAATAGGTGTACCATTATCTATAGTATTTGTTATTATAGTATTAATAGCAATAATAATAGTAATTGTCTATCTCTTATTCATGCGTCACAAAGAAAAGGAGAAACTTCAAAACATCTGTGTCTTCCAAATGAAGCGTTCGAATATAACGATGACTCCATTGAACAAACAGATTTGTTGTAACAAGAATCCCATTCGATTTGATTTAGAGGAAGACCCTCCAATTGGTGTTGATGAGGAGACACGGGACTTGATCTGCATTGGAAACACCACAAAACACAATATGAAAGTCCAATTCAGTGTAATGGCAGGGTGCGACCACTACGAGATCAGAACAGTTCCTTCTTTGATATCATTAAAGAAGGGAGAAGCTTGTGAATTTGAAATATTTATAAAGCCATTGTGTTCATGTGAAATGAAAGAAGACATCATGGTCATTGGTCTTGACATTCAAACGGGGATTCAATATAACGAGCGAATTCAAGTCGAAACCAAGACGAAAAACACGACGAAATTGAATTACAGAGAACTTGAGGAGACCAAGAAAATAGGCGAAGGCTCCTTTGGAATTGTCTTTAAAGGGACTTTTAGAGGGAAAACAGTTGCGATCAAAAAATTGAAAAATTCCAATGCGACAAAACAGGCGATTGACGAGTTTGAGAAGGAAGTGAGTATGTTAGACAAATTTAGAAGTGATTTTATTATTCACTTCTACGGCGCTTGTTTCATCCCAAGTCATATTGCGATGATCACTGAATTTGCCGAACATGGGTCTTTAGCTGATATGATAAACAAAGAGAAAGAAATCAGTCTTAAAATGAAGATTAAAATCTTGTGTGATGGAGCAAGAGGAATACAGTATTTACACGAGAATGGCATTTTACACAGAGACATTAAACCAGACAATATTCTTGTTATTACAATGGAAGAGAATGTCAAGGCTAATGGAAAGTTGACTGACTTTGGAAGTAGTAGAAATATTAATATGTTAATGACTAACATGACTTTCACTAAAGGAATTGGAACACCAAAATATATGGCGCCTGAAGTGTTAAATAAAGAACATTATAAGAAGTCATCCGATGTCTATTCACTTGCTGTGACTATGTACGAGGCGCTTGTGTGGGGAGAAGCTTTTCCTAAGAGCGAATTTAAATACGCGTGGTCGATTGCCGATTTCATTACAAGCGGAAATAGAAGACAAAGAACGGAAAACATGAATGAAGAGGCTTATATTATAATGAACGAAATGTGGGCACAGAAACAAGAAGAACGACCAACAGTTGAAATTGCAATAGAAAAATTACACAAATTGTACGAATCACTACTTTGAAATGATTTTTATTTTCTTTTGATTTATTTTTATTAACACCTTAAATAACATTGAACAAAATTCAAGTGGTCTAAAAATCGGGAAATCTCGAGTTTATTAAATAAATTTCCAATATTATAGAGTTTGTATTATGTGCATAAACATTACACAAGCCAAAAAAGGAATAATCATCAAATTTTAAATTAATATCTTTGTAAAAACAGGCAAAAACAAATATAAAAGAGTTATTTTAATTGTTAAGTGCATTTCAATTGATTTTTATCTTTTTTTAAATATCATTTACTCCAGCAATAATACTATTAATAAATAGAATTATTAAGTAATAATGAACTTAACAATTGGTTTAATGACGTGGTTGATATTTTTTATAATTCAAAAAAGAAGAACAGAATTATTAGAAATAACATATGTTTGATGCAATGCGCCAAGAAAAAGAGTTATCTTTTCGAATAATGGAACTTCAAGAAGAAAACAAAAAATTACAATATGAAATTGTAAGAAACACTGATGAATATAAAAAAATGGAACTTGAAAAAGAAAAACAAAAATTGCGATCTGAAATTGAAAGTGAAAAAATTAAATATGAAAAAAAGATTGAGGATTATAAAAAAGACATAGACCAATTACAAATATACAATCATGAACTACAAATAAAATATAATGCTTTACAAAAACCAAATTACAATACAAATGAAAAGGGTGTAAATGATGATAAACAAGAAATACAAAAATTGAACAAAGAAATCAAACGTATAACAGATGACTATGAAAAGAAAATAATAGAAATTGCTAAAAATAATACTTTGCAAATAGACAAAATTGGTGGTTCTTATTCCAAACAAATTTATGATAAAAATATTGAAATTGAAGGACTTAAAAAAGAAATTGAACAACTAAAAGAAAGTCCACCAAAAACAATAGACTTAACCATGAAAATTCCTTTATATGTATTTCACTTCGGTGGGAATTTTTCAATTAACTTTAACAATAAAGAATACATATTTCAGTTAAAGAAGGTTCTGAAGCCGAACTTTTTTACACATTTGATTATAATAAAACAAAATTATCACTCGAAGTATTACCACAAGAAGAAGAAGGTGTTGAAAGAAATGAATTCGACTTAATTAAAACAATAAAATTACCAAAGAAAAATGAGGGACATGATGTTACTATTTCTGTAATTGTTCTTCTTAAATAATTTAATGTTTTATTAGAGGACGTACGCGATAAAAATAAATACGAAATTGAGAATTTAGGGTTGTTCAATGCCAAGAAAAATGAAAATGGAAAATTGGTGATTTGCGTTGAGTTAATTGATTAATTCTTTTTTAATTAAAATATATTAATTATTTAATTTTAATATTTTAATATAAATATATTATAAATTATAATTTTTATAATTAACAACACAGATGGGTATTATAATCTATCAAATATAATTACTTCTTGGTTCAAAAATGTTATAAGTATATTATAATATAAATATTATTATAGTTAAATATACTAATAAAAATCAAAAAAAACTTTATTATTATATTAATAATAAAATAGTTTTTATTAATTTTAATTTATCTTCTAAAATTATTTTAAAAGATATTATATATTATATATTATTATATTATATAAACAATATAATTATATTGAACAGTATTAATAATAATTTGTATAATATATAATAATCCTTTATTACATTCATTTTGTCTTAATGACAAAATGAATCTGTTGTCAGTTTTTTATTCCTTTGGTTTTTATTATTTAAAAATAAACTTTGATAATATTATAATTTTAATTACATTTTAAATAAGTTTATAATAATTTTTTAATTTTAAGCACAATAATGAAATTGGCACATCTTCTTATTCAAAGTCGAAATCTATAAATCCACCTTTGACTTTTGTTTTTGTATCAAATTATTTATTGAGTCTTGGTATATAGGTTTCATTTCCTGTTTAATATCAAATGGTATTCCGTTATAATAAATTAAAATAAACATTGACATTTTTGATACTCTTTGAGTTCTCAAAAGTATTAAAATAAACAGTCTAAAAAAAGCAAAGCAAAAAAAACACAATTTGATATGTTTTTGTGCCCGTTTCCAATTCTTTTGGTATTTCAATTGTTTTGTAAATCAAAAAAGTAATAATTCCAAAGAAAACATTTCAAAATTGGTGGTGTTGAGATGTAATTTAAGATTTCTGCAAAAAAATGAAACAGAAATGAGTTGTCTGTTATTTTGAACGAATTTAAACAAATGTAAAACTCAAAAATAACAATGGGAAACAGTCAAAGTGATAAACCAAAAACCGCTGAAGCACCAAAGAATGAACCAGCCAAACCAGCTGAAGAGAAGAAAGTTGAAGAACCAAAGGCCGAAGCTCCAAAGGAAGAGACCAAACCAGCTGATGCTCCAGAAACAAAGTAATTAGTTTAGTATAAGTTTTAAATACAAATTTGCATATGAAAAATCTTAAAGATTTTTATTAATTTTTTAAATGAATATGTATCTATAAACTTAAATTATTTGTTAAACCATTAATTTGTAACAAAATTACTATTTTTATAACATTTGTTCTCAATTAATAAAAAAATAATGCTCTTTTGAAATAATTATAATTTTAATATGGTAAATTAATAGTAAAAATATTACTCGTTTTAGAGTTTTAAAAATTGTACAGACACAAAAATTAAAGAACAATTGTTTCCTTACAAAGTGAAAACGTTTTTAATAACAGGAAGACGTCCCCAATCAACAAAGTACGTCATCAGTCTCAATTTTTTGTTCGACTTAATTGTGTTTTTATTTATTCTTAAAACAAATTTGTCGTTGTTTTTAAAAAAAATATTGCAAAGATTTATAAACAAATCTTGACAAATAAAATAATAATTCATATTAATTAATTAATAATTACTATTTAAATATTATTATATTAAAAAACGAATTATTTTCAAAATATAATAACATATTTTTCAGTATGATAGAAAGTTAAGTCAAAATTCAAACTGTAAAATTTAACAAAAACTTATATTAATATAATCAAGTATAGTTACGAAGAAAAAACGTGTTGTACCTTAACACTATTAATATATTTTCAACATTTTTATGTATTAACACTAAATGCAGTCTGTCCTCAATCGAATGCAAATTAATCCTCTTCTTTTTGATAAATTTTCATATGACGCAATTAAAAATCCAAAACAGAACATCGTGTGCTACTTATCAAAAATACTGAAACTATTTCCAAATATTAAAACATTGTATCTTCCATCTTATAAATGTATAATACCAAAATTATCCAATTTTGACATTTCTTATATAAAAGTGAAGGCGTTTAATGATGAAAAAGATGTTATATCAAGTAAAAAGTATGAAGGTATGTACGTCACAAGACGTGTTAGTTTTGTTACATTTGACAATTTTGGAACAACTTCTTATTTTCAAGAAATTGGATCAGAAACACTTAACAAGCTGAAAACACTCACAATTTACTCAAAAGAAACTACAGAAGACTTTTTAAAAAAAGGCAAAATATTGCACATCTTGTGCTGAAATAACAATAACTGACGATTCGGCTTTAACTAGAAACGCGTATGGCAATAAAATAGAACAAATTTAACAAAGGAGACACAAACTGACATCAAGCAAATGTGGGACATCTTAGTGAAGAATCCAGCTGTGTTTTGTGGTCTTTATAAGTTACAAAAAGTCCGAGTTATTTTAAGAAATTATTTTTTCATTGAAAAGGCAAATGAATTTATAAAAAATACGCCTCATGTTAATTTCTGTTTTTATATCAAAAACACAAGTTCAAAAATTCACAAAGAAACAAAAGACAAAGTTAAAGGACTTGAGAAGATTGGATGTGTTGTATTTCGGATAATAGACAATTTTCAAGAGAATATAAAAATATTTCAAAAGTTTCTGTGATATTTGTGAGCATACCAAAAATAATTGAAATAAAAGAGAATTAAATTTTCATTCTTGTTTTGTTCATCAAAAAGTATGCATTTGAGTCCGATGAAGTTCGTCTTATAATTAGGAAAAATAAAGAAATCGACTTATCACTAGTTGAGTGCAAAAAGCTAGTTATACTCAATTTCACAAATGTCAAAGTAACACTGAAAATATCACCAAAAACTCGTGTTGTGGTGTGCAACCAAAATAACCAATATGAACTTTGTAGTTCAGAAAATGTCACAATTACTCTTCAACAACACTTTGAGCCACTATTTCTGGATAAAGTGATTGATTTCAATTTCTTTGCAAATTTAGATAGTGACGAAGACTCAGACAATTTAGAAGACTCTGAAAATGGTAATATGGAAAATGGAGACATCAAAGTAATTAAACAGTTAAAATTTGTAAAGAATGCGTTTGATCAAATGGAGATCTTGGTTTTATTGAAAGTCCAATTGACACTTCACATCCATTAAAAGTCACTCAAAAGCCTTCTAATGTACCACATTATATAGATTATACAAATTTATCAAAGTTAAATTATAGTGAACAAAACCAAAATATTCTAAGTCGAAATTTGCAGGCGTTGTTCTGTTGCTCGACCAACCTGACAACACTAAAATTATATAACATTAATAGTGATAGTGCACAAAACAAAATAGCAGTTGTTTTAAGTAATTTTTTTTACAAGAACTTTACTTGACAAGATGTAAAAATTGCATTTTTCTTTTACCAAGTTCTTTGACAAAACTTTCGATATCAGAAGTGTTTTATTAGTCTCATTATAGTAAAGAGCCCATTTACATTAAATCGTTTTCTTGGGCTTTTGTGGATGATTATAATATTGACTATAAATACCAATATAACAATCAAAATATTAAGATAGACTACCCCATTCAATTGGATGTTTGTGAGGTGCACCCCAACGAAAATATTTATGACAATACACATAATGAATATTTCGCTTATTCAGAGATACGTGTGGCATCACCACAGATGGGATGGTTTATATTCGAGGAGACAAAAACATGGAACAAAAAGTGGA